ATCTCCTAACCTTCCGCCGCGCCCTCAAGACATGGCTTTTTCAGCAAGCGGGACTGACCTAGGGTGAATTTTAAATAGGGAAAATTTTTAAAGATTTTAATAATGACACAGCTATATATATCTGGGTTTTTAATTGGCTTTTATAGGGGAAATGTTTTTTGTGTTGTTTTTTAACATGCTGTGAGCCGCCCTGAGTCCCATGGGGAGAAGGGCGGCATATAAGTTAGTGCAAATAAATAAATAAAATAAATGTGTCATGGGGTCATTTTCAAATCTTATAAACCACAGATTTATATTTTCTCTATGAATTTTCAATTATTTTATATAAATAAAAAAATATAAATGTTATATTTGTATAATATTTTAACTAAAAGTATTTATATATTTAAATGTAACAGACAGGTAAATAAATAGCTTCCACATCTCTTTAAACACAGTGAAGTTGATTTCCAGACCTCAGTCTCTTTCATTCATCTTTGTGTAGTCAAAAAATCTGGCCCCTCCAGCACTACAGCAATGGAATATTACTACAGGGACCATATCTTATTGGAGAAATAAAGGGGAAACCTGAAAAAGGGGCCAATCTGAGAGAAGTTCACAAAGTTAAAAAAAATTATAACTGTTATGCAATACAGCAGTGTGTACTGTATTTCAAACTTGGCAACTTAAAAGATGTGTGAACTACAACTCCCAGAATTCTTGCTGCTGACTGGAGAATTCTGGGACTTGTAGTCTTAAAGTTGCTAAGGTTTAGAAGCCTTGCAATATTAATGTCACTAGGAATGCTAAGAAGGATGGCTACATAGGGCATATATCCATGTCTTAATCTTCTCTACATACAAGTTCAGGTGATCACTGATTAAAGAAACTGATCCTTTACCTCAGTGTTTCTCAACCTTGACCATTTTAAGGCATGTGGACTTCAACTCCCAGAATTCCACAGCCAGCGATGCTGGCTGTGGAATTCTGGGAGTTGAAGTCCACATGCCTTAAAATGGTCAAGGTTGAGAAACACTGCTTTACCTAGTCAAGGCTCTGTGTTCTGGCTTTACTGAACTGACCCTCATAGTAAATGAGGAGATTCGCCGGTCATGGCCCTTGGACCAAAGGACAAATCAGAGGGCGAACTATCGAACTCTTCATAAGTCAGCCTCCTGCTACCAAATCGCCCGTTGGGCATCCTAAAGGCTAATGAGCAAGTAGTAGCGGCAAAAACTCTTATGAATTGTAACGTCCGAGAGCCTAGACCGGGGTAGGCAACCTTGGCTCTTTTATGACTCGTGGACTTCAACTCCCAGAATTCCTGAGCCAGCCGGCTGGCTCAGGAATTCTGGGAGTTGAAGTCCACGAGTCATAAAAGAGCCAAGGTTGCCTACCCTTGGCCTAGACGCCTTCGGGGAATCCCCAACCACCCAGGAGGCGAACAAGGATACACTGCCGCGCAAGGTGGAGGCTCGCAGTGGCCGACAGGCCTCGCGAGAAAAGGCGGTATTTTGGGGGCTGCGGCTCCTCCTCCTCCGGCAGCGAATGGGCGGCTGAGCCAGGCCTGCGTGGAGGAGGAAGAGCGCGAGAAAGCAGCCGGCATTGCTGAGCGAGGCGAGCGGCTCGGCCCGCTGCGGGGAAGTCGCGCCTGCCTGTCTGCCTGCCAAGATGTCGGGCGGGCGGGTGTGCGCTGCGTGCGGCGGCTCCGACATCGAGGTGGACTCAGCCCGGGGCGATGCAGTCTGCACCGGATGCGGTTCGGTGCTGGAAGACAACATCATCGTCTCGGAAGTGCAGTTCGTGGAGAACAGCGGCGGAGGCTCCTCGGCAGTCGGGCAGTTCGTCTCCCTCGACGGTGCGAGCCTGTGTGTGTGTGCGTTGTGTGGGCATCGGGAGTCGGGGCAGGGCTTCGCTTGGGGGGGGCAGCCGAAGGAGGGGCGGCCCGATGCTGCCTCTGCTGCGGCCGGCCGTGATGTTGCTCCCGAGAGCAGTGAAATTGCACGTGGGTGCCGGGGGAGAATCGCAATTCATCTGCTTCCTGCTCCTGTGCCTCGCACAGAATTTGCTTAGTTTAAACGCAAAGTAGTGTAACGACAAAATCGCCTATTATACTGTAAAAAGACAATTTATGTGCTACTGATTAGGACACTCGTGTCAAGAGGCGCTGCCTTGTAATTTCTGCAACCATTTACGTCTGACAAAGAAGATACATTTATCCCATCTTAATTCTCTGGCCACAGTATTTGCAGCCGGTCAGTCCTCTGACAGCTTTCTCTAATTCCCGTTTTCCTCAAACTTCCTTCTTTGAGCTCTTTCTCTGGCTTGTTATACCAAATCTGGGAAAGGGGCTACCTTGTCCCATAAGAAATAGCCTCCGAAGAATAAGCCTTGCTTCAGAATGAAGTGGGAGGGAAATATTTATTTTCAGATGCCCATCTCTGTTGTTGTAGATGGAAAATAGATTTTTCTGTTAAGTTTAGTGTATCTGTCCCTGTCTTGACATGAGATCTGCCCTTTTCCTAATCCTTGTCGTAATAATTATGGGTGCCTTCTTGCTCCATTTGGCTTTCATTCCTTTCTTTCTCTGCCTACTAATTTTGTAGTAGATTTTGAAAGAATGACTGTAGTAGCCTGTAAAATGTGTAGTTTGTGACATTAACTTACCAGAGAAATGAAATAAAATATAGTTATTAAGGCTTATCCACAAATAGTTAATACCCAGTGATTTTTTACTCTTTTACCTGTATACATGAATACAGCAGCTGAAGTTGTATGGCAGAGGGTAGTTTCTTTGGCACTGAACATTTTTTCTAGTTTCACATGTTTCATATCTAGATGACTATTTAAGAACTTTAGTGAGTTAAGTTAATGGAAAGAGAAACACCTATTGAGTCTAGGCTACAGTTTTAGACAAATTGAGCTTTGTAAATTCCAGATATTATTATATAAACATCCCTGGAATTCTAGTTTGGATTTAATCTGAATATGGAAGGAATCATTGGGAGTTTGGGGACAGGGATAGCAATAGGCTGATAAGTCTCAGCTATATTTCTCTGACACATCTGAACTAGGACGTTTTGCTGACCGTTGACCAATAACTTGATGCAGAAGTGAGCTGCATCTGGAAAGACAAGGATCCCACAAGTAAGGGTATTCTGGGTTCATGAAATATGAGGCTCTGATGGAATTGCATTTCTCCGAAAAAAATATGTGACACCAGAGACCCAAGTGTCAACAGCAAGGAGAGGCAGCATCATAAAAGAAATGTACTGGCTGTGAATTTGCTTCTAGATAACATTTTAGATTTTGATATTAACCTATAGACAGTTTGGAACCATTTTGAGGGAATATTTCCATTATACAGAAATGCTCAACAACTGCATTCATCATCAAAGGCTGCCTTGTGTCTACCACATGCAGTAGAAACTCATTTGAGTTCAGCTGGGAAGTTTTGGAGTGCTTACCCTTTAGAAATTAACCAATGAATTATGGAAAAATTTAGAAGCTACATTGGATAGTTTATGATGGTGTGATTAAATTGCTCATAATTATTACATTATTCTGAGTTTTCTTGTATTTTGTCTATTTGGTAGTATATATTTTAAAGTCTGCACACTGGTTTTGAAGGAGTCAGTGACAAATTGGTGTATAAATACTTTGAATATATCAAAATAAAAGGGAGAGATCATAAATACAAAGCAAGAGGGAAAGGAGAGGGAAAGGATGATACCTTCCTTTTTTTTCAGTGCATTGTATCTGGTGAAAGGTGCATTTCTTTCAGAATCCAGTGCAGTATGTACAGGATTTGCCAAAAGTCAGACCCCACACAAAATTTAAAATTTAGATTGAATTGAATGTTCACATCAGTTGCCATTTTCTTCTAAACACTTCAATCATTTGATCTTTGAACATTCCTAAGTACAGAAACATTTTTTTTGAAAAAAAAAAAAAGAAACATATTGTGATTGGCCTACAAGTAGTCTTTGAGTTACAACTGTAATGGAGTACGCTGATTTTATGTTTTTTTATGGTGGTTATTAAGTAAACAGAGGTTGTAAGTGCGAACACCATGGTTGTTAACCAAGTTGTTAAGAAATAGGGGTGGGGCAGTGAGTGTGGCCTCTTCAATGCGTTAAATGAGGTTTTTAGATAATTCACATTGAATAGTGAAGGGAAATCTGTTAATTGGATTCTTGATTTAGTAGAAAACTAGTTATACTTTCTAGTTAGGTGCTAGCTTAAGTACAATTGCTCAGAGATGAACTTAATTGAAAGATGCAGCAATTATTATTATCTTGGTAAAAGAAAAAAATGTAAAGCCATGTTTAGATGATATGAAAAATAATTATTAAATATGCATGTATACAAATGTAACATTTTATAAAATACTAGCTGTACCCGGCCATGCGTTGCTGTGGCTCAGTCTGGTTAAATGGAAAAGAAAGAAAAGAGAAAGCGCACGTTTGTAATATGTTTAATTTCACAATGCTTGTGGGTATACAATATTTTTTGTTGTTCCATTGTCTGTGCAGATATAGAAATTGTCTGGTTTTGGCGCTGTTTTTCAAAAAAAGCATGTTTTTACCTGTCATAGGTGTGACATCTATATAATAGTAGGTATATAAAAACATGCGCGTATTTGAATGCAACGTTGTGTCAAAATTTCAAAGCAATCGGTGAAGAACTTTCGGAGATTTAAGATTTTGAACAAACGAACATTTACATTTTTATTTATATAGATAAAAAATTCTAATGATCCTTCTATTATTTAGCAGATATGTATGTTCTCCAAACTGTGATAAGTGAAGATGTACATTGATGCATTATTGTCTTTTCCTCCCAACTTCAGAATATTATTAACTGTGGGGAGATGCTCTTTGATTTGTTGCCTGGGGGCTTCAAGATGCTTGATTACGCTAAGTTCTTTTTCTTTACTTCCCCTTTTACTGCTTTGGATGTCGAGAGAGACAAAAAGTTCTGGTTCTTGCTATTCTGGTGCTAATTGTTAATTGATGTTGTTGTAGTGTATCAATTACTCTTAAGTTATAACTAATTTGTATTAGTGCAGTAGATCATTTTCTGCTGTTCCCATTTTTCCCATTTTCAACACCCCTTTTTTTCTCCTGCCTCCTGATTCTCAAGATGCATCATTTAATAATAATATTTGATGCTGGATGGGGATGTTCTGATTTGTGGTTCCTCAAATGAAGATCTTTCTCATAGCAAGATACAAAATTATAGGTGCTCCCACTTATATGGATGTNTTAGAGTTGCCATGGTTTAGAAACACAGCTGTATGGGATGTGTTCAGAGAAGTAGTTGGGTTTGCTTGGATTAGATTCAGCTCTCCATCTCTAATTTTATGGCATATTTGGAATCAACTCCTTTTATTGAAAAAGAAATAATCTTTCCCATATGATATTGTTTTTTAGAGTTCCATGCTGACTGGCTTCTGTAAGCTAGCACTGTTTGTGTATTTATAAATAGAATAGAATAGAATAGAATAGAACCTTGGAGGTCTTCTAGTCCACCACCCCCCCCCCCCCGCTCAAGTAGGAGAACCTATCATCTCAGACAAGTGACTGTCCAGTCTTTTCTTTAAAATCTCCAGTGATGGAGCAGCCACAATTTCTGAAGGCAAGCTGTTCCACTGGTTAATTGTCTTCACTGTTAGGAAGTTTCTCCTTAATTCCAGGTTGCTTCTCTCTTTGATCAGTTTCCAATCATTGTTTCTTGTTCTGCCCTCTGGTGATTTGGAGAATAATTTGACCCCCTCTTCTTTGTGGCAGCCCCTCAAATACTGGAATACTGCTATCATGTCATCCCTATATGGGTGGGTGTAAGGGACAAAACCCTCAATTATAGACCAACCTATATAGTTCTCATAATTAAATCTACTTCATTTTAATTTCCTACTGCTTGGTAAATGCTAAAACTATTTTTGTGTCTTCTCCAAATATTTGAGTGTGTTCCATTTCAAAACATGTAGTACATAAATAAAAAAAATTAATCTACCATTATTACGATAAAGATATTTTCCAGATGAACTTAACTTACAGTGATTACATCTATTTTTCTTGGCAACAGTATGGAAGTCAATTGCTATTGTCTTCTTAAATAATAATAACAACAACAACAACAACAATAAAGTTGGAAGGGACCTTGGAGGTCATCTAGTCGAACCCCCTGCTCAGGCAGGAAACCCTATACCATTTCGGACAAATGACTGTCCAGTTTCTTCTTAAAAACTTCCAGTGTTGGAGCATTCACCGCTTCTGGAGGCAGGTTGTTCCACTGGTTAATTGTTCTAACTGTCAGGAAGTTTCTCCTTAGTTCTAGGTTGCTTCTCTCCTTGATTAGTTTCCATCCGTTGCTTCTTGTCCTGCCTTCAGGTGCCTTGGAAAATAGCTTGACTCCCTCTTCTTTGTGGTAGCCCCTGAGATATTGGAACACTGCTATCATGTCCCCCCTCGTTCTTCTCTTCATTAAACTAGACATACCCAATTCCAGCAACCGTTTCTTATATGTTTTTTGTTGTCCAGTCTAAGTCTCCAAATGGGAGAAGGCTAGAAATGATTATCACACTTTATATTGTAAGAAAATGGAAAATTTTATTCCTGTGTCTGCTGGCTATTTTAGATTAAGTCGATCATTTATTTTTATGTATGTAATTTGCATGGCTATCATCATTAGCTGGCATTGATTGTTTGAATTGTTAATTGATGTCACTGTGATTACAACCTAGGTCCTAGGATAAGCAGGTGAAACTTTAATAAGAGCACAAATTATTTGTATTGATTTGTGGAGTCTCCTTACTACAGTCCAGTTTTGACACATGTGGGCAATGTTTGAAAA